AGGCAAAGATGTGACAGTTGGAGTTTGGATCTCATACTCAGAAATCATAAATGCCAAAGAGATATGAGTGGGACACCAGCAGGTATCTGATGTTTGGGATGCAAATAACTCACCATTTCTATGACTCATTTACCTTTTTTTTTTTTAAGAGGGGAAGATTATGAGTGGGGAAGTAATATAAAAAAATGAAAGTTTTACATGTTTGGCTTCCTGTAGAAACAAAAGTCTGTTAATAAAAGAAACCTCATCAATATAAGAGTCTTCAAAAAAGACGTAGTCAGGATATTTTTGGTACGTGCACTTCCAGCTAATTGTCTCAAGAAACTGTAAAAAACTTAGAGGTGCCTGAGCAGCTCATTAAGCATCTTCTGCTCAGGTCATGATCCCAGGGTCCTGGGATGGAGCCCCGCATCAGGCTACCTGCTTGGCGGGAAGCCTGTTCTCCCCCTTCTACTCCTCCTGCTTGTGTTCCCTCTCTTGCTGTCTCTCTCTGTCACATAAATAAATTAAATCTTAAAAAAAGAAAGAAAGAAAGAAACGGAAAGAAATTTAGAAGTAAAGTGATTTCCTCATAATTAAAAAAATGTTTAGTAATCATGAATGATGAAATAATTAATGCCTTGTACAGATTGAGGAAGTAATTAACTGTAGAATGAGGGACTTCTCAGAAATCACGTGAGAGGCGGCATCATCAGGGGGATATTGCCGCCAGATGGCAACAGAGCCTGTGGAATCAAATTTTGTAAGGGAGTTTAGGAAAGGTTTACCCTGAGCTCATTCCTGAGTTCAGCAACTTTCACTGAAAGTTATGGCAAATGCTCTTCCAGATACTGGCTGCCTTAGGAATCAGGCTCATATTAAATTTTGGAGTACTATAATATAGTACATAAATTCTACTCCTTTTATGAATGCCTGGTAATGGTTTTAAATTGGGATTTTTCTCATGAGATTGAAAATCATTTTATTTAAAAATTTTAAAAAAGATTTTATTTATTTATTTGGCAGAGAGGGAGAGAGGGAGAGAGAGAGAGAGAGAGAGAGAGAGAGAGAATAAGCAGGGAGAGTGGCAGGCAGAGGGAAAGGGAGAAGCAGGTTCCCTGCTGAGCAGAGAGCCAGATGTGGGGCTCTGTCCCAGGACACTGGGATCATGACCTGAGCTGAAGGCGGATGCTTAACTGACTGAGCCACCCATGTGCTCCGAAAATTATTTTAAATTCTGAAAGCTGTGGTGAAAATGAATATAACCCATTGGAAGGAAATTTAGTAAATACTTATTAGAATTAAAAATGAGAATGTGTCTTTGATCAACAATTTTGCAGCTAGGCATCTATCTTATAGAAAAACACATGCACAAAAAATATTCAAGTATGGTCATTTGTAAGCATTGTTTTTTTCCCCAAGATTTTATTTTTTTAAAGTAATCTCTATACCCAATATGGGGCTCAAACTTGCAACCCCAAGATCAAGAATGTATCCTCTACCCACTGAGCCAGCCCCTAGGCATTGTTTTTAATAGCGAAAAATTAGAAACAATTTAATGGTCATCAGAAGTGTGTTTAGGGGCGCCTGGGTGGCCCAGTGGGTTAAAGCTTCTGCCTTCAGCTCAGGCCATGATCCCAGGGTCCTGGAATCGAGCCCCACATAGGGGCTCTCTGCTCAGCGGAGAGCCTGATTGCCCCTCTCTCTCTGCCTGCCTCTCTGCCTACTTGTGATCTCCGTTTGTCAAGTAAATAAATAAAATCTTAAAAAAAAAAGAAGTGTGTTTAAATAAAGTTAGGGAATATTTAATTAATTAAGGGGAAAATGAAATACAGCCATTTTCCTTACAAGGAAATATCTTCAGAATTTATGAATTAAAAGGTTACAACAATATATACGTAAACATTGAGTATTTAAGAATGTGATATTTGTACATGGGTAGAATGTTTGAAAGGATGCATACTGAACTGTTAATAATGGTTAACTCTAGGGAGAGTAGGGTTAACTTTCTATTACATGTTTTTCTATGTTATACTTCTATGTTGTTTGCAGACACATTTAAGAATATTATAATTTAACACTATTATAGGATTTTTTTGCAGGGAAGAAAAAATATATAAAACCAATACCCAATAGTCAGTGCTGTGACTATTCTGAATAATCCAGTATCTTTTAAATGAAATATTTGTGATATTCATCTCAGCTCTAGTGTGTAAGTACAGAGTACTGCAATTACGGAGAGAGTAAGCCTAGATACCTATCTTAAAAGTCTATTTGGGGTCCCCTGGGTGGCTCAGTCAGTTAAGCGTCTGCCTTCAGTTCAGGTCATGATCTCAGGGTCCTGGGATCAAGCCTGGTATTGGGCGCCCTGCTCAGTGGAGAGTCTGCTTCTCCCTCTCCCTCTGCCTGCTTCTCCCTCTGCCTGCCGCTCCCCCTGCTTGAGCTCTGTTTCTCTCTCTGTCAAATAAATAAGTAGAATCTGTTTTAAAAAAGTGTATTTATACTGTACGACTTCATTGGTTCAAATTCCAGCTCTCCCATTTACTAGCTCAGGCTATCTCGCTAGAATGACCGTAGGCAAATCATTTAACATCTCTGAGTCTCAGTCCCTTTCTATAAGATGAGAACAATAAAACAACTGATTTCGCAGAATTGTTGTGAGAATCAAATGAGTTACGTGAAAAGTACTCAGAACAGTTCCTGACTGATAGTAAGTTAGTAAGATAGTAAGAGCTCAGGAAATGGTGATTATTACTGCCCAAGGATCTTAGTAGTAAAACTTCCACTGTTAAATTAGGCCAGTGATTAACCACGCTTGCTGCCAATGTAAATTTTTCAGGGTTTCTGCAGATAACATTTATGTATAGAATATACATTCATCATTCTTTTCTTTTTTGAAATTAATCTTTAAATTATTTCAAAATTAATGTTCAATTTATTAGTCATATACATTGTAAAATTTAGTTTTTCTTTTTCTTTTTTAATTTAGTTTTTCTTAAGTCTTTATCTTTATAAATCTCAACATTCTGTAAGTCTAATAAATTTTAATAATCACTTTCAAGGGGGGGCTTAAACATTTGGTCTTTCAAATTCAATAGACCAAATTTTGTTCAACAACAATCAGTTCCATTTATGACTTAAATTCCCTCAAGCATTTTAAACTACAGTATTAAATTTTTTAAAAAAGATTTTATTTATTTGACAGAGAAAGAGATCACAAGTAGGCAGAGCAGCAGGCAGAGAGAGGGGGAAGCAGGCTCCCTGCTGAGCAAAGAGCCTGATACAGGGCTCCATCCCATCGCATCATGACCTGAGCCGAAGGCAGAGGCTTAACCCACTGAGCCACCCAAGTGCCCCTAAACTACACTATTAAATTTAATATAGATTAATTTATTCTATTGCCTGAACTGACCAGCAAAACTAACTACTTATAGTACTAAGTTCTAACAAATTCAGTTCATATATATACATATATTTTAACACATTTTTTTAAAAACAAAATTCAATTTGTAAATGTAAAGTATGCCACTTTCCCCCTTAGGTTGTGATAGATATATCACAACTTATCTATGCATTGTGTCTGCTTTCCAACTAAATTGTAAACCATAGGAAGTGAAGGTAGGGCCACTTCTGTTTTGCTAAGTAGTGACTAACATGTACAGAACTTTGAAGGCCAAGAAGGATTTGAATTGGTCTAAACCAGAAAGGGTATTCCAGACCTGAAGAAACACCAGCAAAAGTAATGGGCAGTAAAGGTGGTAAAAAGATTTTGTTCGTATTTGCCAAGTCTTGCCCATTATAAAAAAATAAACACACACACACACACACACACACACATAGAGGTATACAAAGTGCATGTGTGTTCTGAGTGGCTTGATAACATTTTTGTTGTTGAGGATTTCAAAATACATGAAACTGATCTTTGGATAATCAAATAGCTCATAAACAAGTCACTGTGCAGTGTGTATCTCTGAAATGCTTCCCATTTCTCATATCATATTCCCGGATTTTTCATTCTAGGATATGCTACCAGCGTGTGGATAGTCTTATTTTCCTCCCACATAAGCCATCTCAACTATCTTACCCCTGCCACCAGACAAAACAACTCACATTCATTTGTTCCATCCATCAAATATTTTTATTGAGCATCTACTCTACACTGGCCCGTGTTGTAAAGGCTCTGGGGAAGCAAGAGGGAACATAACAAAGAACGCTTGCCCTTTAAAAGCTTACATTCTGGAGGAGCTGACAGACACAAACATAAAAGCAAATTATGTAGTATTTTAAGAGGCACTAAGTGCTTTGGAAAGAAGAAATTGAACAGCTGGGGAAGGGAGATGGCGCCAGGTTTTTAACATCTGGAATTTAAAAATGAAGCAAGGTACGGACAATCTATACTAAGAACGCTTTTACGTATCTTATTTCTTCTCTGCCCTTCTCGGGACAGGGGTCTATTTCCCGCCTGGCACTTTGTACAGTAATGATAACTTCCATTTACTGATATGCCTGTCACTCTACAAGTACCTTTCACGACTGGGCCGTTTAATCTTCCTCAAATATCATCGTTCCCATTTACAAAAGGGAACCAACATGCAAATCTCAAGGGTACATCCCGAGCGCAAAGCAGAGACTGAGGCTAACCGACTGGATCCACTTAACTACAGGTCAAAACGAGACTGAGAGACGTCCGTCCCCGGACTCCTTTAAGCCGGCAAGCGTGAGGTGTGCGCTAGCGCACCCGGCGTGCACACTGAGCGAGGGCCGGAGAGACAGATGAGACTCTCCACCGGGAGAGTCCGCACTGGGATTCCACACAACCGAACGAACCTGCGCACCGGGCACAAGGACCACTGGGCCAGGGGTGGGGGCCTGGAGGGAAGGGGCGGGGCCGCCATCCTTCAGTGAAAAATACGCCTCCTGGAGTGGTTTGTCCAACGTTGCGGCCCGTAGCGTCCCTGGCTGCCGCCCCTTCTCCGGGAGTGGTGGAGGTCCGATCACGTGATTAGTCCCGAGGCCGGAACTGGGCGGGTTGTGGCAAGCGCAGGGTTTTGACAAAAACAAACAGCGACGGCGCTGCTGCAGGGTCTATGGCCGAGGCGGTGAGGCCTCCGCGCCGGGCCAAGGCCAAGGCCAGCCGGACTAAAACCAAGGTGAGGATCTCCCCGCCACCCTCCCGAGACCATGGCGGATGCGCCCTGTCTCCTTTTCCCTCTCTTGGGCCTCTCCAGCCGGGGCTGCCCATCTCCTGAGCCCTCCGCAGTCTCTGCCCGAACCTTCCAGTACGTGATCCCACCACCCACCGACACCAGCCCTGTTCGTCTATTCCATCTCCACGTTCCCTTACCATATTTTGTCAGGAGCCTATATTTTCCTTTTCCTTCTCTGACGTCAGGGGGCTCCTTCTTTTCTGCTTTCTTCTTGACTTTTCCACACCTGGGCCTGGGTTCCTGCCGTGGAGCACCTTTTCAGTTCCCAGCTTCATCTTTGACTCTCTTTTGTCCTTTAAACCTGGGAACATTTTCAGTCCTCTCGTGAACAGAGGGAAGGAAGCGCTCCTCCACGCGTAGCATGTGCCCTCTGGCAGAGCAATATGGATCGCGACAGAAAGTAGATTGTAGCGATGTACCTTTTTACTTTTGAAATTCAAGGTGATAGTGGTGCTGCTGCTGTTTATTTCTCATAATCCTGGTCGTTTATGGTGGGGGATGAATGTCTAGAAATTAAACCAGGGCAGGACTCACACAGTAGAGATGGATTTGAATTTTCTGGGTTACTTTTGTTGGTTTGTTTTCAGGTGCAGCTAGGGTTTTAATTTTTCACATATATTTTATGAAATGACACTTATTTTACAGTGAACAGGTTAAATGCTGCCCCTGGATGGCTGGACCTAGATTATCCTGGCTTACCTGGAACTGAATTAACATTAAGGAAATAATGAGGGTAGTATTACAATTACTGGAAATTTCCTTTCTAACAAGTGGGTGATGTTGCAAAGCAAGTGTAGCTTAAAAATGGTACCCAAATCTGACTTTCTCATAGGAGCAAAGTTTTGACAAGAGACAGGTGTTGAAAGATACTGTATTTAATTAGCCATAAATGATATATGTGACTCCGTTTTATTGTGCATTTTAAAAAGGCTGTAATGGAGTTACGCACGCCAGTGTACCCAGGCCTGTGAGGAGTTACTCTTTGGGGTGAAAGCCATTTTGCTATCTAATTTAAGAAGCATATTTAAGAGAAATAATTTTTCATTGTATTGGGCTGGTAAAGAACTAGCTAGATGGAGGAAGAAAAAGCCCTTGGTGAACCCTGCATAAGGTCCCTGTACCTAGAATATGGTAGTGCATAACATGTAAACATCAGTCATGTAAGGGCAGAACATTAAATCTTAATATGTAGGGCTTCCCCCACCCCCCAATGAATGATGAAACTAAAGTCCAGAGAAGTTAAATGGTAGGCCCAAAGTCGGTTTGACAACTCAGATTAAAGCCAAAAATCTCAATCCAGTAGCTTAGTTCATTAATTCATACATCTATATGTCTGTCTGTAGATACTTAAAAATAGTTAAGAAGATTCTCTGTCACGTTATTTTGTTTGCAACAGGACTTTTAAAGTAGAACCTTAAGCTTTTAATCTATCTTGGAAAACCAATTGCTCATTTTATTGACACATTTCAGGCAATTTTCCTACACAGACATGTGTTAATTTATTTGAAGAGGCCTTCATTCCAGAGGTATTTGGTCAAACCAGAAATCCTGGATGCATGCTTTTTTCTCTCTCCAAATCTAATCAGTCACTAAGTCTTGCCAGTTGTATTTCCTAAATACTCTCTTAATTTTGCTCGTTTTTCTCCATCCTACCACTACCACTCTCCAAGGAAGACTTCTTGGATTCCTGCTAAACTGGCTTTTCCAAATTCATTTTAGCTGCCCACTCTCTAAACTAAAGCCGGTTGATAGTTTTAAAAACAAAAACCAAAACTGATAACTCTCCTCCTTAAAACCTTGCAAAGGTTCCCTGTTACCCCGAGGCTGGAGTCCAGAGTCCTCAGCATCGACTCAGGGCCCTAAATGATCTGGCTTCTATCTTTCTCTTCAGCCTCAGGTTTACTACCACCATCTCTTTGGTTCTCAACTATATATATAAAATACATATATACGTATATCTTCTGCTTCAGGGCCTTTGCACATGCTATTTTTTCTGCCCTCATTCCTCTTTCTACCCTTCTTCACCTACTGCTCAGTCGTGAGTTCTCTACTAAAACAGTACTTCCTTGGAAGAGCTTTCCCTCATCACCCTCCTGTTACTCCCTCCTGCAGTAACACCCTGCACCTCCTTTGTCCCTTGTCTCACTTGTAGTTATTTTGACAACAACTCTTCTCCCATAGACTGTGTCCTCAGTGAGGCAAGGATTTGTTTCCAGTACCCTTCACAGCCCTTTATGCACTTGGTCATGTTTGTTAAATAAAGGAATAGATGCCAGTATTGAAGAATACTTCCAAGCTTTGTCACTTAGAAGAATTTAGTAAATTTCCTCTGAATAGAATGAAAAAAAAAAAAGCAAGTGGGAAAAGTCCACAACACCAGCAAGGCCCTCATACTTGTCATTGTAAAAATTGTTCTTTTAGAGTCAGTAGATTCGTTTTAGTGTTGGCATAATTATGAAGTTCTACATTAATGAAATCTTTATTATCTGTTGTCTAATTTAGCAGCTATATACGGAGCCATAAAGCAGTTCCAAGACTCAGTTCAGGAAGTGAGTAGTGTCATGTGTTGTTCCCTTCAGATAGTTTGAGTGGCTTGTGGATTTTTTTTACCCAGCAGCTGACCTGCATTCCTCAATGTTAATCATCTGGTAGATGACTTCACATTGTTAGGCTGTAGTTAATCTCCTCATTCCTAAGAGGTTGTCCTCATAACGTTTTCATTCTTTTTGTACATCTTCTACTGGAATATCTCCCACCTCAGAGGACCCTGACTTTGGTGATCTTGGTAGATTTTGAGTTAAGAATGGTAGATTTTTAGATTTGGACTTATTCTACAGATGCAGTGTGTATTTTACAGTCATGGAATATGCACAAACGTTAGTTAAATTCTGGATGCCAGCGACTCGTTAATTGAACAGCATATGGTAATTGCTAAGGGTAGACTGAGATGTGGCCCAGAAAGCTGATCACAGAAACAGAAAGACCCTTACTTTTTTTAATTTTTAAAAGATTTTATTTATTTATTTGAGAGAGAGAGAACAAGCAGTGGGGAAGGGCAGAGGGAAAGAGAGAGAGAGAGAGAAGCAGACTCCCTACTGAGCAGGGAGCCTGACTGGGGCTCGATCCCAGGACCCAGAGATCATGACCTGAGCCAAAGGCAGATGCTTAACCGACTGAGCCATCCAGGTGCCTCTGGAAAGACCTTTAACTCCCCATCCCCTATTGTTTCTTAGCCTGGATGATTTCTACCACTTAGCTGCTCCCCCTCATGAATAGGAGTGAAGGTAGGGGATGTTATATATTATTTAGGTCCTTTTGTGCTTCCTAAGGTCCATTCATTTGTTGAGCAAACACTCACTGGTCACCAGGAACTGTTCTAGGCACCTGGAAAGTAACATAAGAAAATGAAAGAACCTGGTCTTAATGTACATCACATTCTCGAGGGAGAGGACAAATGAACAACCCCACCTAAAAAAATAAAATATATGATATATTAGGAGATGATAAGTGTGAGGAAAAGAGAAAAAGAACAGGGCACAGAGATGGGGAGGAGTGGTGAGAGATAAGGATGGGTTGCAGTTTTCCAAGGTGACATTTAAGTAAAGACACGAAAGAGATGAGGGAGTTAACCATGTAGATATTGGGGAAGAAACGTTCCAAGCTAAGGCCGTAAGGGAGTGGCCTGCCTGGCCTGCCCCAAGAACTGCCAGGAGGCCATCTGGGTAGGGGAGGAGTGAGGGACAGGGGAGTAGTGGGATGAAGTCAGAAACCTAACACATGAGCCAGGTCATGCAGGGCTGTGGGAGCCATTGTAGCAACTTCTGCTTTGAAATATGTAAGCACCTCAAGAGTTTTGAGCAGAAACTTAAAGGATCACTGTGCTTGCTGTGTTGAGAATCAGCTGTAAAGGAGCAAGAGTAGAGGCAAGAGACCTTTTAAGAGTCTGTTGGAATAATCCAGGCAAGAGGTGACAGTGGCTCAGACCAGACTTGTACAGCAGAGGTGGTGAGAAGTGTTTGAACTCTGGAAGTTTCTGCAGGTAGAGCCAAGAGGATTTTCCGGTGGCTTGGATCTGGCATGTGAGAGAGAGAAGAGTCATGGATGACTCTGAGACGAGGAGGTGGTGGGTGGAACGGGTTTGGGGTTGATTAGGAGTTCAGCTTTGATTATGGTAATTTTGAAACAGGTGTCTATTAGATGTCAAAATGGAGATATAAAGTAGGGTTGAGTGTATGAATCTAGAGCTTGGGAGAGCCAGGTTGGGATTAAGATCTGGGAGTCTTTGGGGTGCTTGGGTGGCTTAGTCGATTGAACGTCCAACTCTTGGTTTTGGCTCAGGTCACAATCTCAGGGTCATGGCATCAAGCCCTGCATTGGGCTCCATGCTCTCAGCATGGAGTCTGCTTGAGATCCTCTCCCCCCTACCAATAAATCAATCTTTAAAAAAAAAAAAAAAAGATCTGAGAGTCTTTGGCATATAGTCTTTAGCATAGGTAGTTATTTAAAGCCAGAGACTGAATTAGGTTACTTTGGGAATGAGTGTCATATAGAAAGGTGATAAGAAAAGAACCCAGGGACACCCCAACTTTAAGAGTTTGGGGAGAAGAAGAAAAGGAAGTGTGAGGAGTGATCAGTGAGGTAGAGAGGGAGTATGTGTCCCCAGTGCCCTTAACTGAGCGTGTGGGGTCCCAGAAGCTGAGTGAGGGAAGTGTGTGATGGAGGAGGAACAGGTCAAGCTTGTCAAGCCTAACACTTAAAGGAAGATTGTTAAGAGCACAGGAAAGAGGTGGCAGCTAAGAGCAGATGTTGTATTCAAAGCAAAACGTAGAGGCCTTATCCTTCCCCCAAGCCTTTTCACTCGTACAGCATCCCTGTATACCCCAAGGAGGGCTGGAACAGTTGCCCCAAGAGCTCTTGACTTAAACAGACCCACATATCCAAGC